AACAAAATTGTCCAATTGGGGCGCTTGTCTGAACTCTGGTGTAACGATTGTTTCGGTACCTTTGCCTATCACTTTTAGCTAACTTATAACGCGCTCCCTTTGTTTGAGATACACTTTCCACCAACAGCTTCATTCTACATTTTCGTTCTGTTAGCGGCGAGAAAAACATATACCTACCCACCTCAAACTTCCTCTCGCAGGACCCAGCAGAGGAAAAACATAGTTCAAATAGCCGATGAATATCATTCGTGCTCTCAAAATGATTCGCAAATATCATACAAAAATGCACGCTAGTTTGGGAAGAGACGTCTTTTAATGGCCTTCTCACAATTATGTACCAAATGCTGAGTTTCTGAAATAATAATTACATATTTATGAGTTCGGCTGCACAGGACGTTATCAAGCTTGACTATCAAGTGATTAGTAAACAAAGTAAGTTATTAGTAAACGAATGCACACTGATAACTTACCTGCTGCAGCATGCGCGATTTGATCTGATCAGATGTCTTGCATGGTACTTGGACGACAGATCGGCCGTGCTTCACAGATGAACATTGGTCGGCGGCTCAGGCATTTCACTGACTTGGCTAAGCCGCTCCAGTTTACCAGTGTTCTCGCCTGCGACTTTTCACGAGTCACCTGGTGATTGTAACCAGTTACCGGCTGCTGTTACCGGTCCAGATGCCGTTACCGGCCACAGGTATCTGTCAAATAGCACCAGTCACCCCAGCCTTATAACCTTCACCAATCCGAATCTACCCAACGCTTCCAAACACCACCCCAACGAAATCTCACCCACCCTCTCTTCACATCACATCTCTTCACCCCACAATCGCTGCAGACACAACCTTCCCCCGCCGCTTCCGAATCTCCCCTGAGCCTCCGCCTCGGGCGGTGGCTGTCAGGAGCAGCGCGCGCACTACCCCCCCCCCTCCTACCCTCTCCCCTCCCCCGGCGCCGACTGCCCCAGGCGTTGACATGGAAAGGGCGGGATGGCTCCCATGTGAATGGATGGGGGCGGGGGAGGAGAGATTGATGAGAGAGTGTATTGGTGGTGGTGGTGGTGGTGGTGGTGGTGATAATTGTGGTGTTGCTGGTGCTGTTAGTGGTGGCGACTGAGGTATTGAGACATTCGGGAAGAAATTGGGTTACTTTAATTCAACATTGAAACAATGTCAGAGGAATTGCATTTGACGGAGATTATCTAATTGATGCATTAGCAAAGAAATTAAGGAATTAGGGGAGACAATGAAGATAAGAGAGGTGTTTGAAAGATTTGGATAGACAATGGACGTCGAGACATTGCCGAATATCGGTAAATCGCATTGGGAAAGTGGCATACCTATAACGGCATTGCCACGGTAAGTATCGTGCTTTGACTCACTTAGTTGACAGTGCAGTGGTGGCGGCGGCGATGACAGATAAATTGAGGCAACGACAGAATATTGCACTACATCGTGGTTCCAGGATTTACCCCGTTCACCTCGAGGTCATACCCTGCTCGTCGAATCCGAGTCAAGATACCTTTGATGCCATTCTCCTTCCGCCAGTTCGCTCCTAATTGACACATGCAGACCCAATAGAAAAAAAGGAACGGAGTGAAGCCCCGAGCGAAAAAAGTACGTGTTGATACCTAGAAGAGAGTCATTAAAGCTTTTGCTTTCTTCATCAAAGTAATTATACCTTTGCTTCAAAGACTTTTTCTCAGTTGGTATTTGAAGTCATATCAAGTGACGATTTTTCGTTTGATATGATTCTAGGTATTCAGTGCAGTAATGGGAGAGTCAAGAAGTGTAAGAATGTAATACTGTCGAAGCGTAGATCTTGTTCTCAATTCTTACTAATTTATGCTCCATTTCTCCTATCCGGTTTGCACCGGCGGTACGCATTGATGCATGATAGAACAGAGAATTGGAACAGTTGAAGCATTATTATTCATAAAGTATAATCTAATGCTAACGAACGGGTGGCAACTGGCAGGGTACGGATATGGCCCTATGAGACGCGGATCAACGCTGTGAAATAAAATGTTTCTGCTACGAATATATTTTGCGTATAAAGCAATTAGCTCAAGCAAATGGGACTGCTAACAAAGGATACTTAACATATTCTTAGAAGAGACCACTGACGCTCCTATGCACGGACGGAGCATTCATTACACAAATTGATTATATGTCATGTATGTGATGCTCTACATTTGCATTTAACCCTCGCCGGCCGAGGGGGGGGGGGGTGGGTGCCGCCCCCCATAGGTTTTTTTCGCGATAGCTCCGAACACGCTGGGGATAGAGAGCTGAAACTTGGCATAACTGACCTTTGATCCAAGCCGGATCTTTTGACACCAACCGCATTTTTGGGTCAGGTCAGGTCACTGACCTATGACGTCATAATAAGTGAACCTCTGCACGGTCTTCAGATGTCGCAACTTCGCAACGCCCTCACTGCCAGAGGAGATGTCACAGGGAAATGAAACTTGCAGGATCTAGTATCCATTATGAGTCCCACAACTTGTATATCTCGAATTTTTCCTAAAGGTCATATAAGGTCAGGCCATTTTCGTGACCTCACCATTATAAGTCAATGGGGAAAAATGAAAACTGCTATTCTGGCGCCGGGAACAATCTCCAACTATCTCAAGCACACAGAATCGTGATTTGATGCCCTTGCAAGGTTAGATGCGTCACTTTTGCAATGTTGACCTTGCGTGACGTCATGTATGACGTCATCAAGGTCATATTAGTTTTTCGTCAATAACTCTTGATCAAATTGAGCTAGCGAGTCGGGAAAGCCACCAATGGACTCAGGAAGGCCTGCCGAATCGAATGATATGCGACATGACCTCTTTAGACCAACCTCGCGACCTGGGGGTGCTGACCTGACCTTGACCTGAGGTCAACACCCCAAGTTGACCTGACCCGGAGAAAAAGTATATCATTCGACGCGCCTGAGCGAGGCGAACACGATGCTGCCAAAATCGGCGCTCTGCGGCCGTTTTTTATGCGAAGTTATTCACCAAAAACTGAACCGTACCTTGGGGCACTTGACCTGACCTCAGAGGTCACCGGTTGACGTAGGACCTTAAAATCGGGTACCAATCTCTGCGTCTCGTAACGGCGCACACGCTCGTTTTTTTCCGCGACGCGCTAGCTCCACCAAGGGCGAAACGGCGAGGGGGGTCGTACCCCCCCCCCCCCTCGGCCGGCGCGTATGTAGAAAACCAATAGATCCGGCGAGGGTTAAACCTAAACCTAGCTTATCGTCATGTTTTACTCGCATAGCATTTCCAAGTATTTCAATACGCACCGATCCCTCGCCAGGCAGCTCTGTACCGAAGCCATCGGGTTCATTACGTGCTGCCACCTACAGCTGCTAGCTCAGTGCTTTTCTGCCATCTGCCGCTATGCATTTCGACTCGGTCCCAAATGCACAGACTGTAGGTAGAATGTAGAGGAAGGTATAGTATATGTCTTGTTTGTCATATGCATTTATATAAGCAATATATGCGTTTATGCATATGCACATTTAGCTGCCAAGCTGGGTAGTTTATTTAGATAATACGATGGTCGTAGCGTTGTTGATCGCTGCCATCTATTGCATTTTTTTTTTACAATACCTTTGAGCATACCTATATCACGCAGATGTTTGCATTTTTGTGTTACGAAGGTTTTCCCAGCACCTAGATCAAAGCCATATACCTACCTATTTGCTAAGCTAGGCTAGCTCACTTGCGCGCTTGCATATTTGAACCATTTCTTTTGATAACTAAAACAACAACAATTTATAGACAAACCATCAACTATTTCTTCCAATCTTTTTGCAAAAAAAACAACAACAACAAGAAAAATCGGTATTATGCAATTCAGTTGTCACCTTTTTGCTCTGGCACCAGCCACTAGCCTGTAAACCTCTCATCATCTTATCGATAACAAAACATCTCTAAACTTATCTCTCACGCTGACAATCACTGATATCTACGGGCTATCATATGATCGACTTATCATGGCCGACCTTCATGACCTTCTGTTATGAGAGAAGACTCTCACGGTCGGTCGTTACCTAAAGCTTATCTCACATGACACTGAGACGGTCCCACATGATGTGACACTCTCGAGAACACGTTATCGACAGAGATGGGTGCTGTTTTGTCGAGAGTACGATACTGTGTGAGCTGTCGCCGGCTGCTGAGCGCTGGCATTATGTGCTAGGTGCTGCCGCGGAGCGCTTTGGACTGCTGTGAAGTAAAACTCCTGTGGATTGCTAGACGCCTACTTGGACTGCTGATTGCTGCTATGAAGCGTTGGGTGCTTATTTGTGACTGCTGATTACTGCTGTGAAGCGCTGTGGACTGCTGGACGCTGCTGCTGTGCTGTTCGCTCATCTAGACACTGCTCACTGCTGTGGAGGACTTCGGACTGCTGAGTGCAGCGTTACGCAGTTGTGGACCGCTGGACTTGCTGCATGTTCCTATGGACATTGACCCTAAACAGACTGCTGATGCTGATGTTGTGAAACGCTGAGTGCTGTCGTAAACTGCTGTGTAACTTACTTGGACTGTTGAGCTGGGCCGTTGACTACCGGACACTTACTTGGACTGCTGAGCGCTGCTGTGGACTGCTGAGTGCTGGGAACTGCTGGACGCTTATTTTGACTGCTGGTCGCTGCTGTGGAGCGCTGTGACTGCCGAGCGCTGATGTGAATTGTTGTGGGCAGCTTCGAACTGCTAAGCACAGCTGGGTTTTTCTGTGGGCCTTGGCACTGAGGCAGACCGTGCATAAAAAGGTGATGTGAGAACTAAATGCTACTGTGGCTTGCATAGTGCCATTCGGGACTGCTCTTAGCTTCCTCTGAACAGCTTGGACAGCTCTGAAGACTGTGGTGTCGAAGTGTTGGCTGTTATTGCTAATGACAAAAACTGAGTGCTCTATATTCAACCTGAACAGACCCTAAGGGATCATAATTTCAAGAACTAGAATCTGCTACCAACATCATCCAGAACCATCATGTCGTTCTCCTCGGTGCTTCATCTCGTTCCAGTACGCTACATCATTACCATCATGATCTTTCTCGGCATGCTGTTCAACTACATGGTCCGCGTCAACATCAACCTGGCTATCGTCGCAATGGTCAACCACACCGCTCTTCCGCACACGAACTTATCAAGGTCGGACGAATGTGGGGGAAATGGAAGTGTGACTCCTCTACAACCACAAGAAGATGGAAAGTTTGTATGGGATGAGCGTATGCAAGGCCACATCCTCGGAGCGTTTTATTACGGGTACGTCGTGACGCAATTGGCTGGAGGGAGGATGGCAGAGGTTTTCAGCGGGAAACATACCTTTGGCGTGGCGATGTTTATCTCGGCTCTGCTGACTTTGTTGACTCCCGTGGCCGCGGAGACGGATTGGAGGTTTTTGGTGGCTGTCCGAGTGGTCATGGGACTGGTACTAGGGGTGACCTTCCCAGCATCATATGTTCTTCTTAGTTCGTGGGTGCCCATTGGACAGATGAACTTGCTGGTGATGCTGGCTCAGGGAGGTGGCGACTTGGGCACTACGTTCACGCTGCCGATGACATCAGCCATCATTGAAGGACTTGGATGGGAGGCAGTTTTCTACATCCAAGCGGGTTTCGTGGTGGTTTGGTTTGCCTGTTGGATGGTTTTAGTCAGCGACAGCCCTGAAAACCACTGGTTTATTACTGATGAAGAACGCCAGCTTATCGTAGCCGGTGTTGGACCTCGCATCAGTGAAGTACGTCATCATTCCCTACCATGGCGTGGGATCCTCACGAGCATCCCCGTGTGGGCATACTTCGTAGGGTACTTCGGTGCCTGCTGGTGTTATTACAGCCTTCTTACCGACCTACCACAATACTTCAGCACCATGTTGGGTGAGGATCTTTCCTCCAACGCCCTTTTCAACTCTCTTCCATACTTGGGGCTATGGCTGTTCACCATCAGCTTCGGCTACGTCAGCGATGAAGTGGTATCTCGAGGCTGGGCTGGACCGTTGGCAATCAGACGTACAGCTGCAGTGGTTTCTATCCTTGGCCCCGCAGCTTTACTTACAGCGATCGCGTTTTCTGGTTGTCAAACTTCCGTCGTTGAGGCTCTTCTAGTCGTGACTATCATTTTACAAGGCGCCGGGTACAACCTGGGGGTTCTTCCCCTAGACCTGGCACCCAACTATGCGGGGACTCTTGCAGGACTTTCCAACACCCTAGGTGCCATACCAGGGTTTCTTGGGCCTCTGGTTGTGGCCGCACTTACTGAAGGGAATGAGACTCTTGCAAGATGGAGAACATGCTTCCTGATAGCTGCAGGATTGGCCGGAGGATGCGGGCTGTTTCTGCTAGTGGGTTGTAGTGTAGAGGAACAGCCTTGGAACAGAATGGGCGAGGAGAGTTCGGAAAATGACGTCGGCAGGAGGATCGAAAGCTTTCCCTGAAGTCAATGGCGGGAAAGAAAACCTTGGACAGTGAACCGGGGAGAAGCAATCCATCGTTTGAGGAAAATGTTATTTGAAGGGGAAGTGTTCATTGTTTTAGAAGATGATCTGACGCTGTTGATTGAAGTTATATACTATACACTGTGCACTGTTGCATGCAATGGCAATGCTTTTAATTAGACCGAAATTAAGCAAAACAAGGAAAGGCGTGACTAAGAACGATTATGATGATTGGAGAGGGACTGGGATAACCTGATAAAGCACGCATCACTGCCATTTTTGCGTAAGTAAGCGAGCATCATGTAAAACGTTCACATTGCAATATATGAGCTAAAAGTGTAATGTCGTGTACGCAAGGAAACACAAGTACGTAATTTTCACATTTTTTCACAAGTATGCAAGGAAACACTGTCGCACTTTTTCATGAAATGTATCTACCATATTCAGTGACGCCTAATAAATTACATGCATAATGCTCCCACTGCGTTACATGACCCTGCGTCTGTGTGCATAGCAGTCAAATATATCTGCTAGTACGATCTACATTTGGTCTAGTTACCGTGTTTACAAATGGTTAATGACGTACTGTTGCTAACTGATCTATTCGCATACATCTAAAGACATGTTTTTTGTAGTGATGTATGGTTTATACCATTATAACCGCAATGGAACCTGAAATGCCTTATGTGAATGCGAATAAACACAGTCGCAACTCCTACAGCCGGACTTTTGGTTATTCAATGAGGGCGGCGCAGTGCGGACTGCTGACAAATAATAATGGCCAGCACTTAAACTGATGACAAGCTGTTACGATAATCTACGCCTTCTCAGCCGATATGTCACACAATGTTTGCGTGTTACAGAAATTACGAGTTATATAACATCTGAATCCATACATGGCTACTAGTGTGTGCAAGTTGATCGCGTTTCTATGGCAACCAATCGGCTTTTTTGGTGCCGGCTGCTGGGTCTGTTCGGTTTTATCATGCTGCCAGTCGAGGTACAGCTTAGCTACGGAACTTAACCTCGCGAAGGTGAGAAAAATTTTAGATTACATTTGATACATTTGTACATACATAGATACATTTAATTTGATTGCCTTTTGATAGCGATCCTGGCTATATTTGTCGGTTAATCTTTTTCTTAACCCTCGCCCTGGCAGGGGGGGGGGTCGATGCGACCCCCCCTAAGGTTTTTCGAAGATAGCGTGAAAACGGCGGCGCGCAGCGCCGCCAAATTTGGCACAGCCTATGGGGCAACCTTTTTACATATGACCTGAAAATTTCAGGTCCGGGTGACCTTGGGTCAGGTCACCAGGTCAGAAAAACCGGTACAAGGTCATGGTCAAATTTCAATTTTCTTTTTGCACCTGTCCAACTCACAGTTTTCGACTGGTTTCCTTCAAACTTTCAGGATGTGCTAAGTTCACCGAGTTGTATAACATATAGTCCGGCTTTTTTGAGGTCACTGACCTGAGGTCAGTTAGAGGTCATTACGTCGTAATGTTAAGCCTATGGGAAAATACTAAATTCGGAAAATACTGGAGATATCCACTTCGTTCTATCACTTTTGTGCTTTGAAACCACGGTACTTAACAGCAGGTCACTTGGTGCTTCTTTGTTTGGTGTACTTATCCATGGGTCAGGTCAAATGAGGTCAACTGAGGTCAAATGACGTTTTTGCCAATAACTTGGCACATAATGACGCTAGAGCTTAAAAAATGGCATCATTGTGTTCCTGGTGATCAGCCGAATCGAATGATATGCGATATGATGCAATTTGGTTAACTTGAACTTAATTTATTAACTTAAGTTTACTTAAAATTTAAGAAAAACTTTAAGTACACTTAAGCAAGCTAAAAAGTATATCATTCGACGCGCCTTGACGTGCTGAGTTCACTGGTGCTTTTCTTTTTGCTTTATCTTAATTAGATCAAAAGTTATAAGCGAAAAACTTTTGACCTGTTTTTAGCGAAATTTTTACATTTATACCCCCCAAAACCCCCCTAAATATTGACCTAGAGCAACCAAATTTGCACAGGGGCGAGAACTCCCGGGGGCCCACCTACCTGCCAAATTTGGTGTTTCTAGGTGCCATAGGAGCCAATCGCGAGGGGGGGGGGGGGGGTCGCATCGACCCCCCCCCCTGCCAGGCCGTGTTATGAAAAATGCCCTGCCAGGGCGAGGGTTAACTTTGGGCTCGGCAGTGAATCAGTTTTAGCCGTGCCTAGCACATTTCATCTGACTGACACAAGTAAAAAGGTGAGTATAGTTAATGGACAACAGACAATATACACTAGTCGTGAGATAAGCGATGAGTCGGTGAATAAGCCTAGTCATTCAGCGTTACGGAAAACGATAGATGACCTCCTACCTCTATGTACCAAACGCAACATTTACGAACTGTAATATCAAGACAAACAAAGCACTTGCCAGGAAAGAATAAGAGGCATATGCACCTCGTAGCAACAGAAAATGATTGAAAGTAGATATTTGACTCGTATGTAAGAGCAACTCCCCATACTTTGAATCAGCAACACATGCTAAAATGATACCCCAGCAGTGGTGATGAAAATTGCTTTTTGCCCTACCAAGACGCTAAGCATTATCTTCCCGATCCATTTATGAATATTGGACATGCCAACCTGCTTGCAAGAGTACATCCGTCTGCTGTCAATTTTAATTCTAATATGAGTGAACAAAAACCTTTCGCTCCTAACTACAGAAAGCCAAAACAAATCGAAATCTAATGGATTTTTTAACCTCTTTAAGTAATAAGAAAAATGTCATTATTCATTCATATTTCAATTATAGTTATAATCCTCCAAAAATAGTTTCAAACTCTTCAAACTGCGGTTAATTTGACCAATATTTCTTATTCCAGACAGAGAAGAGGTATGTCTCTCCCAGCTGCAGAGTTGGCACAGTGTGCCGCGCAGGTAGCTTCCAACCACGCCTGGCCGACTGCTGAGCTGATGTGGCAGTCACCGAACCCCGTCTGGGTTCTGCCTGCTCTGCTGCTGCAGCTCTCCAAACTGGGAGTGTTTGCTCGTCGTTCCTTGGACGGCAGCGGTGGTGGAAGTGGTGGTGGTACCATTCAGATAGCGGCACCAGAGCTGGCCGTAGCGACGCGGCCCTTGCTGCTTCTGCCTCCCCGCGATGTATCAATAAACCAGCTGGAGAAGCTGTCCTACAGCCTGCATGGTGTTGAAGTGCTACAGCCTGACTCGGGTCAGCTACTGCGTGTGAACCACCATGTCAACTCCGGCCCGCTGGTTATCACCGTTGGTAGATGTCGGGCTGGACAACTGAAGCTACTACCACTCCCACCAAAACCTCCGGGAGCTCTTGATGACCTTCGCGTCGTCAACAAAACTTACCGCGTGGCGCGATTTGATTGGTCTCACTCCGACCGACTCTCTTTGTTTCACCTCGCTGAAGACATTGTCGCTCTCCTGCAAGACATTCTTGGATTCAAAACCATCGATACAATGATACATGAGAACCCTCTGAGTCAGTTCTTTAGCCTCCTCCAGAATGGCTCTCTTGATTTCGGCGTTGCCATATTCGGTTGGTCGCAGAAGCGTCATCCGTATACGAAGCTCTCGATGGCTCTCGCACACTACGACCGCGGGATGTTCATTCGTACACCAGAACCCTCGTCCGTTCCTTCTTTCAGCGGAAGTCTTGAGAGTCACCGTCTTCAGGCGTTGGCTATAGGTCTTCTTCTTGTGGCTGCCATTGGTGGGTTTGTGACATTCCGGCTAACTCGCGCGCCAGACTCGCGTCTTGTCACGTTTTGTCTCCTGACGATCGGTTCAGTGGCTGCCCAAGGCCTTGCACTTCGTCCGGGGAGCATGTCGCAGCACATAGCCGCTGCGGTAGTCCTTGGGGTTGGCATGATGACCTTCCAGTTTTATACCGCCGGTCTCCTAGCCCAGGTAACCACCGAACAAGCCCGCTTGCCGTTCAAGCATCTTGACGATGTCATCCGCCTTCCGGAGTGGCATTGGGCAGTACAAGAGAGATCCGTGGGCGCGGACGTTCTTCGCTACTATCCAAGACCTGGCGCCAACTTCACCAATGTCATGAACGATGGTATTATGGAAGGCAACATGACGAAGTGGGTCTCCCGCGCTGCCAGAGGCAAGTTCGGATTCTTCAGTATCACGTCATTAGTTGTTGATCAGTGCACGGTAATCCGTTGTCCCAGTGTCTGTCTTCACCCCCAGAAACTGATGCGCGGATGGGGAGGTCTTCCTTTCCATCGGAGTATGAAGGAATGGCGTCTATTTGATGCCGCCCTTCTGCGGATGAAAGAGACGGGATTGCTGTCGCGTCTCTATCAACGTCGCTTACCAGAGCGACTCCTCCGTTCGGTGGAAAGATGTGACCTGGATGCTCGCCCGAGAACCCGCTGGTCTTCTCTGGGTCTTTCAGAATGCGGGCCGTTGTTCGCTGTTCTCCTTGGAGGCGCTTGCGCTGCAGTGATTCTGCTGGGTCTTGAGCTGCTGGCGGGGAAGCTGAATGAGTTTGACGAGGTTCATCGGTCGGTTGATGAAGGTCAAAGGTCATGTCCTTCAGAGCAGCATAGTCATAGGTCGAGTGTGCTCTCAGTAAGGGAGAGAAGTCACCTTGACGCTATTGATGAATCCCTAGACAGCACGGTACTGGTGATATCATGAGTGCTCTGTAATGGTTTCGCATTTGGCACCAAAAAGCAGGACATGGCGTCGTATGTCAATACCTGTAGATTGATGGACTGCAGCTAACTCGAAATACTTTAAGGCTAGAATACATTTGTCGATTGGTCATATACCAGTCATTCGCGGTTATACCCATAATACAAGTACACCAGGTCTGTGCAAAAGAAAACCATCTCCAAAATATGTATTATGTGGCAAAGCATGGTGTTTGTGCATACTGCGCAGTAGAAGTGCTTTCATTGTCTATTAGAAAAATGGTAGTGGTTGACAAAATCAGTTGCTTTTCGTATTACGTTTGAACCGAAAGTTTGTGTTTTATTGGTCGAAATGCTGTTAGTTACAATTGCACTTTTACTAAAAGAAACTTGAGTTCCCGGGCAATTTTGTCGCAAGCTTATTCTGTAGCCAGATAGCTGGTGAGATGTTACTGGTAGGTGATATAGTTCTCCGTGTGATGGTTCGTCGTTTCAAGGCATTACGTTTTGTTGTCTAGTGCCTAGCAACAAATATCCTATGTCAAAGCTACCATGCTAAAAATAAATTCATTGTCAGACGAAACTTTTTATCTTCCAACAATGTAACAGCGAGTTCTGCTTTTCCATACCTCAGGCAACCGCTATCACACCTATGTAGACCATGCAGTCGTTCATTCGGCCAAAGCTGTATTGACCGCAGACTAAAGTGGATATTGTGTCAGCGTAAATAACCTGTTATATTTAGTCATGTGTGGTGTTTTGAAAGCCAATTCACCATTTTATTGTCGCCAGGCTTGCGCTATTAACAAAATTGGAAAGGTTATATAAGTGAGCGCTTTATTGTATATCCAGAGTTCAAATACAATGAAGGAGTTGTCATCGCTAAAATGAGCTGACATTCATACCCAATGCATGGCCTTTGTTTGGCAGCAACCATAAGGCACAGTGAAGCTTTCGTCAGCAGCTTTTGCAATCAATGTGCGCTATAGGTGTCATTGACGTCACTGGGATAAACATGTCGCTGTTCTTCATGACGTAACTGGGTTAAGTGACGACAGTTGATCTATGACGCCACTGAACTCGGCCTAACATTTGTGAATGGCCGTTTCACATTGCACCGAACAGCTTAAACACAAGAAGACATATGAGTGCATGTATATGGCCTTAACTTTTAAATTCGTTTTAAAAGTGATAAAAACGCAAGACATTACCCAACGTTTCGCATTTATTGCTTAGTCATGGGTGTTATTGTCCTTCTAGTTACGATGAGTTTGATAATCCTCAACAAGAAGACAAACTGCTTCAACAACAACAGGTAAATTGTAGAATGGCTGCCAGTGGCACCAAAACTAGCTGTGTACCGTAGCTGCGACCAGTAACGCCTTTGCACAACAACTTCGCGAACATTGGTTATAAACCCAGCTAGCTAAAACAACAAACTAACAGGTGACGCGACAACAGCCAAAACAAACAACAAGCCGCTGCGTCAACGTCGTATGTGAGTAATTTGCTAACATAATTTCTTATGTTACTAGCGTAAGTTAGTAGTTAGTAAGTAACAACGGTATTTATTGGGGACCGGATATTTACAAATACAAACACGTTTCCTCACATAGCTATATACAAATCAAGTTTCGTTATCGTTTGTTTGGAAATATTGTTGAATGACTTATGTTTCGTTGATAGAGCGATGCTACCGTCATTACGACAGCATTATGACATACTTTGACATATGTGATACAATGTCAAAATATTGCAACAAGTACATCATGGGGCATCATTTTTATCAGGCTCGACAACAATGTGTAAAATAGAGTTTGGCGTTGCTGATTTTGGCTTTTCATGGGGCGATCACTAGCCAACATAATGGTGCAAGTGGCAAGTAACAGTTGGATCCAGGAGGGAGTGGACTTTGGGCAAATGACACCCTCGCAGTACTCAAAATCGATGACGCTTTGTCGTTTGTTCTAGAATAGGAAGAAAACTAACCTTTTATAAAGAAAACATTGTTCTGAACCGCATATTAAAGCGTAAGGATTTGACATCCAAAAGCCTTGGGGGGGGGGGCGTCCCCGCAGCGTCTGAGACAGTCTTTCTGGATCCGCTTTTGCTCAATCACTTTTATAAGACTGAATAGGCTACAGAGGATGCCTTGTAACTTACTACAACATAGCGGTATGAGGAACACAGAGATATAGATATAGATAAATGGACAAAGAGAGAGCGAGAGATACATAGACAGATGAAAAGATACATAGAGATAGAGAAACAAGACAGGAGACACGATAACATCAAAGTCACACCACACACCGATAACCCCTTATATAATTTACTCTACGATAGTGAACAAGTTAGCACAGTAGCCTGCTCCATATGTCAGCAGCGAGCAGCAATGTAACCGTTCTCAATAAGAGAACCAAATTAGCACCGTTTTGACGCAATGCGCCAAGGCGACAACACTCAAATGATGTCATATGGCAGCTTTCCAGCGGCCATATGGTGCCATATGGCAGCACGCCAGCTGTCATTCAACGTTGGTAGCAGAGAGTATGCACTAAGATGGAGCCCCAATAACGGCATAGTTAATCACACGCGTGCTTGACAGCCGTTACAGTTTTTGTTTTCGGCGGGGAAAAATCATAATTTCGAATGTGACACTAAACAGCCCGCAGTACCTACCTATTTTATCAGTAGGTATATCGCGCAGTATTCAATACTCAATGTTGTCAAACATTCGTTGTTCTGTTGAATTTGCTTATGTTACGACTAACATTGAGCACATATAGGTAATCATTTTTGTTTGTTTGTTCATGAAGCATAAGTGCACATCCGTTACAGCTGCCAGCTGCCGTTAAAAAAAATAGTACCCCGTTCCGCCGAGCTTTTTTTCTGATATTCATTTCGATAAAAAATCCATGATAAAATCCTCTTGCCAGCCGCGGTTCAATCACTGTAGTCTCCTGCAGTAGTAGCCCAGGGTCTTGCATTTTTCACACAGTTCCTGCGGATGCACTTTGGACTGATCCGACACATCCAGACCGTCCGGCTTCTCTAGAGGGCGCTGCGAAGAGAAAAAAATAATATATTCCTGATTAGATGTCACTATAATGTCTGATGTCTTACATGATGTTATAGGAATATCTGGATTTGTAACGAAAGCCCAATATATGTAGAACATTGAAGCAAGTATTGAAGTACATTGGGCATTTTATACCACTGAATTTGAGAAATGTTTAAATATGACATGACAATATGACAATCAATTTGCAAAGATGACATCACAACTATTACAGTGCATAATATACAATTTGCAATTTAACATTACATTAACAATAGGTATGACAATCAATTTGCAAAGATGACATCACAACTATTACAGCGCATAATATACAATTTGCAATTTAACATTACAATAGTGCAACGATGCTTCAATGTATATGTGCCAACGAGAATTTAATAATATAATAACGCCGGAAAAATTATGCACCAATAATCAATACTGGTAGCAACTAGCAATGCATTTGCAACTCCAGTGTGATTATGCCTATTAGGACGGTGAAACTAATGATTCCATGATGATAATAATGGTAACGCTGAAGATCAATAACTAATCTAGTAGCCCACCTGTTTGTGTGGATAGACGAAGAGGCGGCACTTTTTGCACATCTGCGCCATATTCGCCCAGCTGTTACCCGACATCCATTTCCTCTTACATTTGCTGCACTTGTACTCTCCAAAACAGCGCTTCTTCCCCTGGTACGGCGTCATGCCCTCTCCTCTTGGGCGAGCCTGAGAATGGAGATAAAAAGTGCTATATTAACCCGCGCCCTGCTGGGGGGGGGGTGTTTGAACACCCCCCCTTGTGGTTTTTCGCGAATATCTCAAAAACGGCGGCGCGGAGCGCCGCCGTTTTTGGTACACCTTATCATACATCAATTCTACACATGTTGTGAAAATTTCAGACCAAGGTCATTCAAGGTCAGGTCACCAGGTCACTTGAAGTGACCTCACCTCATAAACAGTTTCAATGTCTGTCATAGCTACACCGAGTGACCGATCGCTTTGAAACTTTCAGCGATTGCTAAGAGCAATAGCATGTACAAAATGTATATCTCAGAATTTTGATATCGATGACCTAAGGTCAGGTCAATTTTGCGACCTCCCCATTATAAGTCAATGGGAGAAAATTGAAATGCGCCTCTTTTGGATGAAAGACATTATAAACACTCCCAAACACCGAATTACAAGTGGTTTAGACACACTGAACTTGAAAATGGTGTCCGTGACCCTTGTTTATGCCCTGAGGTCATCTTAGGTCACAAATGGTATCTAACAGTTTTTCGCAAATAACTTTTGATAGAGGCATGCTAGAGCGATGAAAACGCCTTAGATGTGTTCAGCTCGACGATACGGATCGACTGATATGCAACATGACCCTTTCCGGTCAGGTCATGACCTTGACCTGAGGTCAAATTTTCAAGTTGACCTTTCAAGGTCAAGTCATAGTTCATTCGATGCGTCTTGACGAGAGGAACACGATGCCGGTAAAAGTAAGCTCGTACAAGGCTTGGGTCAAAAGTTATTGCAGAAAAACTGTTTTCGAAAAAATCGGCTATTTTTGCAGTTTTTGCCCCCTGCAGGCAAAACCGTTGACGTTAGGTCAAATCTGAGAGAATTACTCAGAAAGGGCGTTAATAGGGCTATCGAATGCGCTTTTCCGCGGCGCTGTAGCTCTATTGGTTCCCGAGTTATGCGTTGGCTTCTTGGAAAATTTCGACATTCGATGATGGAAATCGGCGAAATTTCGCCGATGGAAATCGGCGAAATTTTGCCTTCAATGACCTCTGGTGACCTGACCTTTGACCTGACCAAAAAATTGACCGAAGTGATTTCGTCATTATTTTTTACGCTCTTTCGAACGCCGCCTTCCGCGTATCGCTACGTGGCCCAGGAGCCGAGTTACAAGGGGGGGGGGTGTTCAAACACCCCCCCCAGCAGGGCGTGGAAATCCAGGACCCCCAGCAGGGCGCGGGTTAACTGAGCTGTAATCGTCACGCCCCGTGTGGATTGTCCATAGTAATACGTACATACATACATACATACATATATTACGTAGTGGGTGTGAAGACGCTGCTAATTGAATAATAAACTACACCATGATAACTACAACCGAACGAATATTCTTATAATGGAACTATATAACTACTGGAACGAACCTCGTACACGCGATAGTGACACTAATCTGGGACTACACACTGCGCAAGTTGCGCACTACACACGCGAATGAGTACCTACTTCCTTTGACATGACAGTCCGAATGACGTGGTGCAATTATACAATTATTCCGTAAATACAACACGCAGGAATGGACATGGAAAAGTAACATAAAAAACTGCATTCACCCGATAATCGAATGATACGTTTGATCGGTTATTCGGATCGGTTATGCTCGGATCGGTTATGTCGATCGGTTATCGGATCTATTGTGATCGGATCGGTTTGATCGAATGATAGGTACCTACGTTTGAACTTTGAATGCTACTCATCTTTCTGCCTCCCTATTGTCCCTTGAGCTTTGGCCTCATGAACATGTTTCGGATCCTCCCCATACTATTTGCAGAGTCCAAACATTTTTCATACTTTGACCACGCTCATCCAAGATTTTGACCATACCTCTGACGTTGACTTGACTCGTCCTGGGCTTTGAATTCGTCCACTTCTCACCTTTACCTGACTCGCCCCTGACAGAGGCCAGACTCACTTCTGACCTTTACCTGACTTTTTTCTGACTTTGACCAAATATGACTCAGAGTTTGACCACACTCCAGACTGACCAAACCTTACATCGGACTTTGACCAAACCTACTTCAGACTCACTCACTTCTGGCTAGTGGCTTTGAACATAATTACTTCTGACCTAAGCAAAGTCACCTCTGAACAAGGTAAAGTTCACCTCTGGCCATGGTCAAGGTCACCCCTGGTCAAGGTCACTCACCTCGGGACAGTCTTTGATGTAGTGACCCTTCTGGAAGCACAGGTGACATAGGTAGGTCTCCGGGGGAAGCTTCTGCTTCCTTCCAAGTCCTAGACTCAGGTCACCAAACTGTTCTGCCAACTCGCCTGGGGAAAAGTGCAGAGGTCAGGTCATATTGGAGCTGCAGTTTTTAGAACACGTGTTGAGTTTTACATTCTAGCAGATATTAGATGACAGAAGAGCTACAGTTGTCATGGGAAAGTGACGTTTTTAAGATGATATTACATACTGAAGGTGTTGATAACTCTGATGATCCTGAACCTGCCACACACACACTGTTCTAGACCCTGAACGTGCCACACACCCATTGAAGTGTTCTAGACCCTGAACCTGCCACCGACACACACTGTTCTAGACCCTGAACCTGCCACACACCCATTGAAGTAGTGTTCTAGACCCTGAACGTGCCACACACTTACTGACGCTGTTGGAGATTCTGCCACCGGTTCACACTTACTGATACTGTAGGAGACGCTGCCGCCTGCCACACACTTACTGATACTGTTGGAGACGCTGCCGCTCGCCAGGGAGTCGTCGGGTGCATGTTGTTGCCGGTAATTGACTGCTCCTGTTGAACCACAGAGACCCAGAGGGACCGGATGGAGTACACTGAACCCCAGCGGAGTAGACTGAGGCGGCCACCATGGAGAGAGTAGTTGTTTACCCTGCTGGGGTAAAAGGGGAGGTTTTAGAGCATAGTAATGTTCCCTGATGCTATATCTATTATCTACACAGATCTATACAGCTGTTTTATCTGTGGGGTAGCGATGGGGGAAATCGTAGCATGACTAGCAATTTCAAGCCGTAATCGCCACGCCATATGTGGAAGGCTTTTGGTGTCAATACATACATACATACATACATACATACATACATACATACATACATACAAAATACAACCACACATTATACAGACTCAGGGTACACCACGATTATAATGCCTATTTTCTTGAGAAGTAACGACAGGTGAATGATGCCAATACACATTATACAATCAGTGGCATATCACACAAATAAGAGCTGTTGGCCCCGCTGTATTATGGTGGAGGTATGGTGTGTTGCCGACACGTAGTAACTACTAAATGTACCCCTTCACTCCTAATGCTTGTCACTATTTCCAAAGTCAACATCAAGTATCGACGTCAGCGTCAAATTTCATGCTGACGTCATCAATTATCAGTCTCCAGGGTAGTGCTTGGTATTAGTCAGCTGCAGTCAGCTGAACTCTCGCCCGTATTGGTGTTTTGTCAGCCGCGAACGAATAAAGGAAGGGGGGGGGGGGGGGGTGGCGTTGGACATCCCCCTTGCTGTTTCGCCGCTGATCGCGGGAAAAACGAGCGTGTTGCCCGTAACGAGAGGACGCCGAAGATATCTAATTTTAGGGTCCAAGTTCATTGATTCACCTTCGAGGTCAGGTCAACGATACAATAGTCGGAAAAATCGGGGAATGTAAAATGTCGTAAGGTGTGGCTTTTAGGAGGTTTTTCGGGGTACTAATCACGTATATCATGTTAGTTTTGATTACAGATGATGTCTTGAAGCATTTATACCGGGTCAGATCAGGTCAAGTCAGGTCTTTTTTTAAATAAAATAAAAAATAAATTTAAATAAAATAAAAAAGTCAGGTCGACCAGTAACGGTTCTGCCAAATATTCGTAGTAGGTGTCAACTGTCAACCACCTCTGACAGCTTCGAAACATGTTACGAAAGCACACAAACTGCTTCATAAATGTTCAAATAGTTGCTAAGTTCGAATTTAGCTCCAAAAACTAGCCTAGAAGCATGTAAAATTATAAAACGTGAGCCAAGGTCATCAAAGGTCGATGACCCGACCCGACCTTCAGGTGACCTTGACACCCACCCTAATGCATGGGAGCGATATCATATCACATGTTTGAATGCTTGAAACCACGAAAAGACTGCAAACGCGCGGCTAATGCAAGCCAACATACGCCGAATCGCGATTCCGGCCAAACATGGTCTCAAAAAGTAGGCCATAGGTCAAAGGTCATTAAGGTCAGGGTCATGACATTTTCAGGGTAGGTGTAAAAGTTGTGTAAATCATAAGGGACACCATATCTTTGCAGCTTGTGCCTTGCATCTATTTCTAGTTAACCCTCGCACGACCAGGCCATTTCTCATAACACGAACGACCAGGGGGGGGGGGGGGTTGTTACGACCCCCCTGGCGTTTCGAAACGGAAGGTCGTAGAGCTTAGCGGAAAAAACAACGGATTGCTCTCAACGAGATCTCGCGATTGGTGGTATATTTTTTGGTCCTAGGTCAACATTTGACCTACTTTTGACCGGTCAAAGGTCAAATTTTCGGAAAAATAGACTATTTTCAACTTTCCGCGGCGATTGCGGCAAAGCGGTGGGAGATATCGACTTGAAACCTTCACTATCGTGTTTCTTGATCAATTCTCTATCGTTTGGTATGTATTTCGTTTCCCTAGCTCTAAAAATGGCGCGTTGGGAGCGCCGGAAGTCGGCAAGGTCACAGTCGGCGACAGAAATTCGAAAAATCAAAATTTAAATTTTTGAAATCTGATTGTATTTTTGGATTTGGAAGGTCCATTTGCTCCTTATAGAAGCTAATATTGCTGCGTATTCCCATTGAGGTGACAAGAATTAGCAAAATAGTGGTTCGGGGCGCTTTTCAAAAATAGTACCGGACGCTGTTCCTCTTATGACGTCATAACTCCGTGACCTGACCTGACCCGGTCAATTTTCTTGCACCACACGATAGCCAATGCGTGCCCCAACATGCATGGGAAGTTTCATCATGATCCATCAAACAATGTGGGTATCACCGGCAGAAAACCTAGGGATTCGGCGCACACGTTTGGTAACTGTCGGCCGGAGGCTGTACCTCTTATGACGTCATAACTCCGTGACCTGACATGACCCGATCAATTTTTTTTCGGCAAAAGATGCGCAAAGGTTGCCCCAGAGGGTATTGAAAATTTCAGCCCGCTACGACAAGCCGTGTAGCGTGCACTTCGAAAAAACCTCAGGGGGGGGGTTGATACACCCCCCCCCTAGGCGTTCTAGGGTTAATAACCAACGCGTGCTTATTATAATCCCTTGGGTATACTACATGATGATCAGTGATCTTCCCCTCCCCCCCCCCCCAGAAAAAAATCCAACTCACCTGATCGATGGCGCCCTGCTGTAATACCGACTCCTGAAGTGGCACGTAGGCCCAGAACGGACCCGGCTGTCCCGGTTGAAACTCCATAGCTGTGACACGTCACTGGCGTACGCCCCGTGACGTCACTGGAGGCGTGGCGATGATTGAAGAATCACTGTCGTCATGTTGGAGACTGATCAAGGCTGACCTCAAACGGTGATAGGGAAGTTTGGAGACAAGCGTGGATCTGCAGAGACGAGACTTGTCTCCACTACACGACGAGGATCACGGATATCAAGTCAGGTCAGGTCAGGTCAGGTCAGGAACGCAGTCAGCTGATGCCTCCTTCCTAAGCGAGCCCTACAACGGGCTCGCTAAAGTCCATCCCACAATCTCTACACACCACATTGCAACACACCCGCTCCACACTCGCTTTCGATCTCAAGGTCACTGTAATACCACACTTTTATTTCAGGTCAGTGACGACCTCAGGCCCCCTGTTGACCTGCTGATCAGCTGAGCAAGTTCTAGCAGTGTCACAGCAGAGTCTCGCAGCCCGATACTTTTTGGCTGGCTTCTGGCTGAAGCGCGGTGTCTAAATATAACGGCAGGCATGGCTGCCAGGTTGATGACGTCACAGTCAGCTGATCGGCGGCAACAGTGCAGAGGTGCTGATATTACGCCGAGAGAGAGAGGGAAAGAGAGAGAGAGAGAGATAGAGAGAGAGAGAGAGAG